GCCTTGCGCTATTAGAGAATCTTGTTCGTAATATCCTAAAGAATATATCTACAAACTTTCGTGAGTTTTGGATACTTTATTATCAAAATATAGACAAAAACGTTACGCGCTACTACTTTTGTCAGGGACTGTATTAGTTAAAAAAGATTTTATTTTAATAATTTTTATAAGAAATATAATGAAATTCTATTTTTATTATTATTTTTTATAAAAATTATTAAAATGAAATCTTTTTTTAACTGATATTTATTAAATAAATATATAAAAAAATTTTTTAAAACTTATAAATATATTTTTTATATCTTAAAATATATTTTTACAAAAATATTTTTAAAAATATTATTAAAAATATTTTTAAATAATTTTTATTTAAAATTATTTTATATAAATATCTAATTTACATATTGATACAAATTTTATATACTTTTATTAAGCTAATATATCTTGTCTATTAATAAATATTCTAAAGAATTTATTTACAAAATTTTATATTTTTTAAATATTTTATTATTAAAATATAAATAAAAATATTTATTATTACTTTTAATCTTAATTATATTATATATATTAATATAATTATTAATATTTTTATATATTATATTTTTAAGATATATAATAATATATATTTTTAAAGTATTTAATATAGAAAACTAATTTAATTTTTTTTATTATATAATTAATTTAAATTAAATCTATTTCTTTTAAAAAGATGATTTTATTAATAAAATATAATTTGAATTTAGTCAAAAATTTTCAGATTTGATTAGTTTAGTTCAAAGAATTAGAAAATCAAGATAATTATAAATATTTATATAGTTATTTAGATTCATTTATAATAATAATTATTATTATTAATAATATATAAAATTCTTGAAAATGAATTAATATTTGAATAAATTAAGCCTTTTTTTATAAATAATCTATTCACAGAATTTCATTATCTATTAGATTAATTTTACAGGTGAATTTGATTTATCATTTGAAGAGTTGAAATAATTCCAATTTTGATAAATCTTTTCATACTATTTAATAATGCTTTCAAGATTGAACTTGGAGCTATTTTATCACAAAAAGATGAGAATGATCAAGAAAAAGCTAAAATCCGACCAGCTGATCCAAATTATCGTTAAATGTTCCTTGCGAAATTTTACTCTGGCTCAAACTTTTGATTTTTTACTCACAGTCGTAAGGATATCCTTATGTCAAGCGAAGCGACCCCTGATCCGATCGGAAATGCCGTTTTTCGCATGTACTTGGATAATAATTTCCGGAAATGGATCAGAGTCGGGCCAATCACGTGTACTGAAAATGTCACCTACATCATGGAATATTTGTTTCAATAACCAATAAGAATGTTATAAATCCAACAAAAAATAAAGAAAAAGTGGAAACATTTAAAACAATGTTTTAACCTAACTTGGAGAACTAATAAAAAATGTCGGTGAGATATTTAAATCGATCTTTAAAATTTTCCGGAACAACAAAACCGGAGAAAGGTAGTACACACAAGATCACATGCTGCCAATATCACATGTTTTGTGAATCTCAACCAATTAAATGCAACCGCACAGAACAACGAAAAAAATAGGATATACAGTACAAAATAGCCGTCAAAAGGGAACAACGCTTAGATAGAAATAAAACACGTCGACAGCTACTTCTATATCTACTGCTCAAAAATATTGTGACGATGAAAATATAGATCATTCTCACCTATCAGTTCACATACTACCATATTACCATAGAAGATACAGACAAATAAACAGGCAGATTCTATCGTTCGTTCGCTCATCGATTCATCACACGTTGTTAATTACTTGTTAGTAATTAGTAATTATAAAGGACAGACATCAAGCACCACAAATTGAACATTACGAAAGTAAAAAAATGAATTCTCAACCAATGGTTCCAATGAGCGCCTTGACTCGTGAGAGCTTACAAAACGTTCTTGCAAAAATACAAGCAAAAAAAGCACAAGGCGCTACGGAAGCTAATGACGCAGAATATGCACACCTATTGAATATTTTGAGGGTATATCAACAGCAAAACCAAAACTATACTGCAACCACGTCGCCAGCCGGAACGACAGTAACAGCAGCCGCAGCAAGAGGTTCAGCGGCATTAGTGGGAGGACACCAAACTACAAATACTACTGCTACAGCAACTTCTACAACCCAGGCAACAATGGCTCAAGCATCTAGTCCTTTGACACCGGAACAATTAATGGCATTAAAATATCAAATTCTTGCATTCAAACATATTAATAAGAATTTACCTGTTCCGTCACAATTGCAACAAGCAATGTTCACATCAAATAACAATATAACTAATACCAATAGTGTGCCAGCTGAAACGGTCACTTCAAAAATTGTTGAAGCCGCATACAATCATAGCACATCTCCCGCGCATCTAGACGCCGCTTCCGCCGCGACAAATATCGGATCTGGGGGTGGTAATGTTGGAGCCGGAGCATACAACGCCTACACAGATCCATACACATACCTAAAAAATCTGAATAATGTAGCCCAAGGGAATTTTTCGCGACAACAGCGGATGTTGGTGCCGAGTATCACGCCGGTGGGTCTTGATCCGCATGCAATAGCTCAAGAACGCGAAAATATCATCAATGCGAGAATGGAAGCTAGAAGGAAAGAGTTGGAGAAATTACCATCTAATTTGGCGAACGATACGTTGAAATATGGATCATCCAATAAAGATTACTCATCCACAAAATTGAAAGCATTGATTGAACTAAAAAGTCTTCGTCTTGTCGACTTGCAAAGAAGAGTAAGGCATGATTTTATTAAAAGCATGTCGAAAGGTACTTCATTGGCAACCTCGGCGGAGCGTGCAGCTTTCCGACGAATGAAAAAACAGACTCTTCGGGAAGCGAGAATCACCGAAAAACTTGAACGCCAACAAAGAATTGAAAAAGAACGAAGAGAAAAGCAAAAACACCTGGATTACTTGCAAAGCATATGTAATCAAGGTCGTGAAATGACTCAGGCCCATAAAGCACATCAAGCAAAACAACTAAAACTAGGCAGACAAATACTCGCTCTTCACGCGCAAATCGAAAAAGAAGAACAAAAACGAATGCAACAAACTGCCAGAGAACGTCTTCAAGCTCTTAAAGAGGACGACGAACAAAAGTATCTCAAACTTATTGATGAGGCAAAGGATAAACGTATCACACATTTACTTAAACAGACCAATAAATACTTGGAATCGTTGGCGCAGGCAGTTATCGCCCAACAAAATGTTGAACTTCATCACGATCCAACTGTACGCGGAGGTGTAGAGATGATGGACGATGAAGAAGGAACATCCTTTGCTCTATCGGATGGTCAAAAAATTGATTATTATGATGTCGCCCATCGTATCAAAGAAGAAGTCGAGCAACCTCATCTCTTGGACGGAGGTCTCCTTAAGGATTATCAAATTAAGGGCTTGCAATGGATGGTTTCGTTGTATAACAATAGATTAAATGGCATTTTGGCTGATGAAATGGGATTAGGAAAAACAATTCAAACTATTTCACTTATCACCTATCTGATTGAGAGAAAGAAACAAAATGGGCCATTCTTAATCATTGTTCCATTATCGACACTAACAAATTGGACCATGGAATTTGAAAAATGGGCACCAGAAGTGACAAAATGTGTCTATAAAGGGATCCCAGCAGCTCGTAAAGAAATACAAACAAATTTTATCAAACACAATAACTTCCAGGTTCTGCTTACGACGTATGAATATATCATTAAAGATAAAGCTGTTCTCTCGAAACTACGTTGGGTCTATATGATCATCGACGAAGGGCATCGTATGAAGAACACCAATTCCAAATTATCCACTATTCTGACGCATAGTTATCAATCTAGATATCGACTTATATTAACAGGAACACCTTTGCAGAATAATTTACCGGAACTATGGTCTTTGTTGAACTTTGTACTGCCCAAAATTTTTGATTCCGTTAAAAGTTTTGATGAATGGTTTAATACGCCTTTTGCACATACTGCCGGTCAAGACAAGATCGAACTAAATGAAGAAGAAAAATTGTTGATTATCAAACGTTTACACAAAGTACTTCGTCCGTTCTTATTACGCCGGCTCAAAAAAGATGTAGAATCGGAATTACCAGACAAAGTAGAACGGGTCATAAAATGCAAATTTTCTGCCCTTCAGACAAGACTCTATAACCAAATGAAAAAACACGGAATGTTGTTTGTCAATACTGGCGAAAAAGGACAGACCGGTATTAAAGGGCTTAATAACACCATCATGCAACTTCGAAAAATATGTAATCATCCATTTGTATACGAAGAAGTGGAGCGAGATATTAATCCCAAAAAACTCACTAATAACCTGATATATCGGGTCTCAGGAAAATTCGAACTACTTGACCGTGTCTTGCGCAAACTTCGTGCTACTGGTCACAGAGTTCTCATCTTTTTCCAAATGACTGCTATAATGAACATCATGGAAGATTTCCTCAATTACCGCTCCTATCGATATCTTCGTCTAGATGGTTCAACTAAAGCAGAAGACAGATCGATCTTACTGAAAAAATTCAATGATCCTGATTCGCCGTACTTTGTATTTTTGCTGAGTACGCGTGCTGGTGGTCTTGGCTTGAATTTACAAAGTGCCGATACTGTCATCATCTTCGATTCGGACTGGAATCCCCATCAAGATCTTCAAGCTCAAGATCGTGCACATCGTATTGGTCAAACAAAAGAAGTTCGGATTCTGCGTTTGATTACACAAAAATCAATTGAAGAGACTATACTTGCACGAGCTCAGTACAAACTGGACATTGACGGAAAAGTTATTCAAGCCGGTAAATTCGATCAGAAGAGTACCGCCGAAGAACGGGAAGCATTTTTACGATCATTGCTTGAAGGCGAAAATGATGAGGTTAACGATGTCAATGACGACGAAGAACTTACAGACGACGAACTCAATGAGATTATTGCGAGAAATGATGATGAGCTCAGACTGTTCAAAGAGATAGATAAGCAGCGGATGGCCGAGGATCAAAGAGAATGGACTGGTAAAGGAAAACCCGAGAGGCTCATACAAGATAACGAATTACCTCATGTATACTTGCAAGATGGTGATGCCCTACTTAAACGCCATGAACAAGATGTAGAGTATGGTCGTGGCCAGAGAGCCAGGAACGAAGTACATTATGACGATGGATTAACTGAAGAGCAGTGGATGAATGCTCTCGAAAATGAAGATGAAATTGCTGAAGTGATAGCCAAAAATCAAGCTAAAAAACGGCGACGAGAAGAACGTAAAAGCAAGAAAATTGACAAGACACAAAGCACAGAAATGCAACAACAACAGCAAACATTCCCATTCATAAAAACAGAAGAGGAACAAGCACCCGTTGTTGCCGAATCATCATCTAGAAAGAAACGAGGTCGACCTCGAAAAGATGAACAACATCATCATCATCAGCAGCAACAACAGCAACAGCAACAGCAGCAGCAGCAGCAGCAGCAGCAGCAACAACAGCAGCAACAACGACAACAACCACCTCCCGTTCCTGCGGAAGCATCTGGTCCAGCTCTTGACTTACCCATTGAATCAACAACAGCCATCACATCATCATCGTCGTCGGCAAAACGAAAAGGAAAGAGGAAAGCCGAGACGACCGATGACACACCCAAACAAGCCCCAAAGAAAAGAAAGAACACCAGTGGAAAAGCGGTTGTTGACACTGTGCCTCAAGAAGTTCGCGAAAAGTTGAACCGAATCTTTAAGGAACTTTACGAGGTCATTGAAAACTGCACAGACTACGAAGATGGGGAGGCACGCCAGCGATGTTTCTTGTTCAAAGAACTGGTTCGTAAACAAGATTACCCGCAGTACTACCAACTAATCAAAAAGCCTATTGCTATGAAAGTCATCCAGAGGAAAGTGAAAAATAACGAGTACTCGTCGGCTCAGGAGTTCCGTGATGATTTCCACTTAATGTTCAATAATGCGATGGAGTTTAACGAAACTGACTCGCAGGTCTATAAGGATGCCGTAATCATGAAACAAGTGTTTGATCAAAGGTATAATGAGCTCGTTAACAGCGGAGTTTGAATTGAAACAGGTTTTTTCATCAAGAATGCAATGAGTTTTGTTCTGGTGGATTTAAATTTGGCCAAACATGAATCACACACTATTGTTAGTTGAGTAGAATATATATATATAACAATAAAATAATTATAATTAGTTTGCATAGTAATTATTTCGAATGGTTTTTCGGTATATGTATCCTAATACGTATTGTACTTTTTTTTCTCATGTCCCAATTATATGCTGACATTCTTTCTATAAATAATTTTACTTCTTAATTAGACGCACATAGCGTGTATACGTGTACTGATAATTAAAGTGCATAGTTATGTTCGCTTTGTATATATATAACAATCGATCATTTCTTTGATTATTACTCTCTCTTATCATTTATTTTATTATTATTCTTTCTTTGATGAAGGCAGCCACTACAAAAAAAATCAAATAGAACAACCATAGTGATGACAAAATAAATGAGTGCTATCAACTGTTTTAATAAAACTATATCTTTTGAAATGCTGTTACTACTACTACTACTACACTAATCATGTCATGTAACGAATATATATACATTAGTTATAAATATGCATGAAGATGATGATTGATGAAGTTGTACTAATAATGAAATAAAGAATGTGTTTTTCTCTTTTTCCGAGTTTACTCATATCGAGCTCGCTTTGTTTCCGATTCTTGATCATTTAATATAAATTCTAGCATTGCTTTTGATTGCCTTTTCTGCGGAGTAGGTCGACTCGAACTAGAATTGGAGCTGGAATCCGAACGACTAGAACTATAGGAATATTTATTATTATTATTATTATTGTTGTTGTTGTTGTTGTTGTTGCTATTATTACTACTGTAATTATTAGGAACAGACGGTATTGTTGTTGTCGTTGTCGTAGCGCTGATGGTGGTTGGTGTTTCTGGTGAATGGGACTGATGTGATGATGATGTAGAAGGATGAAAATTTTGCTCTTCATTATCCGTTTCTGTGACTGGAGAAATGAGATGCGATTGTGTTGGGGATATTAGTGACGTTGGTGTTTTTGTTGAAGGTGTTGTATTGCTATTATTAATATTATTGATGTTACTGTTATTAGTAGCACCGTTATCAGTGCGATATGCTGTTGATGCCTGTACGGACTCTTGAGAGTTTGCCGCTGAAGGATGCGATGCTGGAGACTGCATAACCTCACGAGAAATGGGTTTTGTGGTTGTTGGTGTTGTGTTGTTTATTTTCGGTGTCGTCGTTTGTAGTGGCGGTGGTGGTGGCGGCTTTTCTCGTTCTTTCCAACCTCTGCGTATTATGTCACAGTGTCCTTCCAACTATTTATTCATTAGGTAAAAAAACTTGTCAAAAAATTGATCTTTGTGAAGAAAAATTTGGAGAAGGAATGATTTTTTTTTACCATCTCTTGAGATACAGCATCTCGTATGCTGTTCATTATTTTTTTCAAGACTTTTTCGTCATTAGCCAAATCTTTGTCGTCGCGAAATCTTAGAAACCTACGGATTTTAATATATTTAGTTAGTTAAAGACGGAATTTCATTAAAAAATTTACTAAGATTATGATACCAACCTCCAACCACCCGCACGAACATTAGGTGCATATCCATCTTCGTTAATCACAAAAGTTTTCCAGTTCGGGTCCCACCTAAATATAGGAAAAATATAGGTACATTATAAGATTAGAAATTATTCAAGGTCATAAATAGATACATAAATACAGTCTACTCCCCACATAGTCACCCTTCGGGTCCCGGTAATGGTATGACTATAGGGAGGTGCTCTTATATAGGGGATTTTATTTTATAGTCGCATATTTAGTGGCCCAGAAATAATGTGACTTTTGAGGAGTGATTATATGGAGGCAATTATAGAGGGGTAGACTGTATATTAAATAATTAAGGCAAATGTGCATAGGCGGGTCGACAACAAATCTAACCATCCAACCATAAAGAAATCACAAAGCTTACCAAAATTCGCCAATACGACCATTTGGAGGGTTTTTACGCCATCTATGATTATTAATAATATTTAGTTCATTATTTTTTAGACGGTTTAGTAGGTCAAAGAAACATACTCTGCAGCCAGCTCATCCTCAGGCGTCAACTGATCATAATACTTATGCACACCATTACTCGCAATAAATAGCTCGTATCGTGGTTTTCGTTCCGTGTTCCATACCACGTTGATCTTAAAGTCGACCGTGTTGCTGTTTGCTGGCTTCCATTTGAGTCTATATCAGCGATGAAAAATTTAGTTTTTTATCAGTTAAAATATCTACGTCAAACAAATAAATGGTAACGCTAGAAAGGAGTGAAGGTGCGTACAATTTTGGACAAGTGCCCGATGAATACGGAAGTTTGACAGGCGTAAAAATTAGCCCGTCGTTTGCGTGTTTAAGCAGTGGTAGTTGTTGGAATATTTTCGGTAGTCCGTATGACCGCTCCATTTCTTTTAATTCAACTCTATATATGGAGAAACATTATTTCATAAAAATTCTAAAATTCAGTATGATCGTATCATTTTGTACGGGTAACGAATTAAAACAATAACATACGTGAACGGCTGTTTTTTTGCCAGCACCGGGTCGTTCTTTAGTGCTGTCTGCAGCGGATCAATCACATCTTGTCTGAACATCTAAAATTTTTTTCAACAAAAATAAAGGAGACGGAAAAATCACTTTTAATAATTTAATTAATCTAGACCCAAAAAACTCCATATATAAAGATTCGAGCGTGTACCCCAAGTCGCGTACTTAATGACCGTTGTGTGACAACCGTGCCATTAATCACCATCAAGTCAAAAACTAGAAAGCGTACACATCTCTAGGTAAAAAAAAATTTTGTTCATTAAAAATCAATAAAAAATCATTTAATGAATAGGCAAATAAATAAATAAATAATAAAAAATACAAACTTTGTCACGGTCAAGGTCCACAACCAACTCCCCGTCCATCATAGTCTCTTTATGAAATTTATTTGGAGATTCGCGAAGCGGTAATCTCAAGTCAGCTATGTATTGTACTTTATTTTTCCTATCTACCTGGATTTTGCCATTTTAATTTTCCGATTATTAGGGAGAAGTTAAAAAAAAATCATAAAATACGAATAACCCAACGGAACGCCACTATAAATAACAAAAAGATAGCCTACAAGAAAAGTTGCCGGTCCTTTTGGCGTAATGGTTGCAAACATCAAGTATCGAACGCCATCACTTTTTTCACATACAAAATAATCTTCCGTTTCCAGCAGATGAAAGTGTGATGCTGCAAAACTAACCGGCTGCGCCCCGGGAAATCTAATTCGAAAGAAGATAATTTTCAACGAAACATTCAAGGTTATAAACGGACAATCATTTTTCTCCGATCAATCCAACATCACGATAAACAACATTAAAAAAAAGATTCAAGGTTTCTTGTGGAATCGTAGAAAGACTCACCCATCAAATCTACATCCAAGCAACTCTTTTAATCGCTGTTGTATCGTTCGTTCAAAACCCGGATCAATCGGTTGACCCGGCTCGTCTGGGAGTGGAGCGTTATGCAGTGGGTGTGATGAGGACATTTTGTTATTATTATTGTGGTGGTTACTGTGGGTTGCTTTGTGTATAAAATATTTCTATCCTCACGTTTTTTTTTCCTATTTAAGCTAGAGAAGAAATGCAATATTTCGAAAAAAGTTTGATTCAATTTATTCTGGAATATTTGGTGATATCAATTTCTGGTGAGTGTGTACGATAACGCAGAGTAGTGAAAACAAATCAAGCGACAGTGACGGTTGCAGGTGTCGAGAGATTTGTAAAAAAAAAATAATTTATTCTTGTGCAAAAATGAAATGGTAAAAAATAGTATTTATTATTTTCGATATTGAATATAATATAGGTGACGTCATAATTAAAATGTCCAATCAAAATATGGTTGTTGCACGGGCGATTATCTTTGTGTGTTGTGTCTCTTTTAAAGTTTAAAAATAAAATAAAAATAAAAGACTAGAATTTCATCTTACTTAAGTGTAAAAATATAATTGGTTGAATTCTGATTGATATATTTACGGTATAAATATATTTATATAATTCCGCTGATATAAAGTTTATATGAAAGTAAACTCCGAATTATATTTGTTATGTGAAAAAAACATTTATCCATAGGACAGAGCCGGCTTTATATAAACAATTGCCAAGTAATTAGGTGCTTTGTGTAACGCCAAATACAGAACACAATAGAAGGTTCCTAGAGAACATTGACCTGCAGACACATATAAAAAATGTTCGATTATTTGCATTGAAATTTGTGAAATTTGTTAATTAATATTAATAGAATAAGTATCCAACCAACCTTTTTATCATTCATTCGCGCCTGAACACCACATAAGCTATTATTATTATTTATATTATCAGTAAAGCCATACAAAGTTTTTAAAGTTTAGCGAGGTGAATCAGTCAATCATTTTTTCTCACGAAAATAGCAGTTTATTTATTGTTTATTATTATTCAGTGTTGGTATCAACAGCCGCAGCAGCAGTAGCAAACATCGGTAGTTGGTAGCCGTCAATTAGCACTATCATTGCTGATCTGTTCATTTTACTATAACACGGTAGCACGTAAACCTGTTATGCATCAAAAGGAAAATAAGACACTACACACACTTGCATAATAGAGCAAGCGTTTCGTTCTGTTTGACACTTCTCCGAATTCCCTCAATTTTCATCATTTATTTCATTTATATTGTTGTTATATTAATATGGGTTTTTTAGGTATTAGTTTAGTTTAGTTTTTTTTTAAAAATATACCGGTCTAACTGTTGTTTCAATAGATTATCATCACCCAAACTTTTATTCCCATAAATAAATATGAATAACAATCATGACAACCACGCCTGCACTCACTCACAACAAGCGAACCCATACACTCAGTCCTTGGAAGAATTAGATTTTTCAAAGTCTATACACCAGGCATGTCTGCAAGGAGACCTTTCGAAAGTTAAAGCACATATAACGAAAAAAGGATCGAGAGTGGTTAATGAACGCGATACGGCTGGGTATACACCTTTGGTATTGCCAGTCTTTGTCCGTCATGTTTTTCCGGATAATAATTTATAGAAAAAAACAATAAAGCAAAAGAAATTTCTTTTTTTTTTCTTCACTTGAATAATAAATATAACACCATGTTGATGGAAACAACCAGCATTATGGAGCTAGAAGCGGTCACGAAGAAATATGTAAACTTTTATTAGAAAATGGTGCTGACCCTAACGCAACAACTCCGGAACTTTTATCAACAGTAAGTACGAGTAGACAGAGATTTTCTAGAGTGAGTTATGTATGATGTGGGGGATATTTACTATTATAATACTTTCCCCAATAATAAAACAAATATGAACGGCCGCAGCCATTATCCCGAGCAGCTGCTGGCAATCACATAAAAGTGGTAACGCTCTTATTGAGACACGGAGCAAATCCTAAACTTGTCGATTCAGGTGGTCAATCACCATTGCATAAGGCATGCGAAAATTCCTCAATAGCGGTGGCGAAATTATTAATAGAACAAGATAGAGGATTAATCGGTGTTAAAGATAATAGGGGACGTGGACCTCTTGATTGCTGTAGAAGTAAAGATGATGAAGTTGTTTTGATGAATGCTTTGCAATTGTGAACGATTTGCATCTATGTTTATGTTGTGCTATCGTGTCAGTTTGTTATTGAAGAAAAGAAGATTCGTTCGTGGGTTGGCTGGGTGATTGGTCGATTTGATTGATTGATTGATTGATTGTCTAACTAATTGCTTGCTTGGGAAATACATGTTTTGGGGATTAGGTTCCTCGCAGTCATTGATCATTCTTCATTAATTGCGTTATCGATTGAAGCTGATCAAAATAAAAAAAAGTGAAAATTATAATACGGTTGATAATGTATATTTTGAAAAGGTACAAAATTAATTACCCATATTGAATAATTTAAACATAATTAATATATTATTTTAGGTACTCTTATTGATTTGCATTAAAAAGATAATTCATCATTATCTTTTAATCTCGTACTCAGAATAGACAATAGAATGGATTACATAGCTTGAAACTACAGCAGCTAACGAGATTTATATGGAAACGGAGCCAAAAAGACAGAATTATGCAAAAAGAAGCAGAAAACATTACCAGTAATTTCCAAACGGAGGGAAAAGATGCTGAACAATTAAAAAATCAATCAGAGGAAGTGTGCAAATACGTGAAACAGCCATTGTTCCAGATCCCATGATGCAAGTATAGACGACTGCGGAGCACAAATATAATGACTATGTTTGTAACACAACAGCGACTGAAATCTACTGAAAGAAGCAAAAAAAAAAGAACGACAGACCACATAAACTTTATTCTTAATTAATATCATCTCTTGTTTTGGACTGCCTGTATACAGTCGGCTTTCCTTGAATAACAAAAATCGTCTTCAAAAAGTCCCGCTCGATGTCCATTTGGCTGTGGGTTCTTCTTGAAGGTCAAGATGTCCCCGTTGAAATGGATGCTTCAGACATACCTAATCTGTCACGTCTTATCCCTCGCATCAAGGAAGCGTTTCCAGAACTTTCCACCAGGGAAGATACTATTTTTGTCCAGCGACAACCGTACGCAACCACTTCGAAAAGATACTCTCATCACATCCATCCACGCTACAGCTAAGTCACCCCTTGTCGTTCGTTATCCACTCTCTGACTGCACGATCACGATCTGCTGCAATCTCTCAAATAGCTGGTTCAGACAGAGATGGCCGCATTCCAGTGGACTTTGGCATCTTGTGCGCGCTACTGTCCTTGAGCATTTTTCTTCACTGAACTCTTCAGAATCTTTCTTTGTGGTCAAGGATCCAGTCGAAGAAATAATCAGCGAGTTTCAGTTCAACAGAGTCATTCAGAAAGCTCCAACTGATAATAATAATGAGCGCCAGATCAGCATATCCATACAGGTTAAGGGTAAGAAGGCATATGGGGAATGGGACCTGCGTGATGTCCTCCAGAACATCTTGCACAAAGTAGTTGGTCATCACTTGACAGCGCCCCTCGCTTAAACTTGAATGAATTCGAACAAGTAGAAGTCAGCGATGATACTTTGAAGTAGCTCATAGACGAGCTTCAAAAAAATGCGGACGTATTCGGCGAAGTGACGAGGAACGAAATGACATGCCGAGAGTTCATTTCCCCTTTCTTAACCACAGCTGTAAAGCATTTACAGGAAAACGAACCGCTTCTTGCGCTCAGAGCTGAAGAGGAGCTTAATGGGAGTCGTGGCTTTGGTCCTATAGACTACTCGGTCGTTTTAAACGACATCGTAACATGCGTAACGGAGGCAAAAAAAATGGATTTCGACAAAGGGGCAGCTCAAAACATAGTACAAATGCACAGTGTCGTAGAGAACCTAAGGAAGCGCAAGATAGAAGACACAGATTTGGAAGATTCTGAGGAAGTCCCAGTTATGGTGTATGGAATTGTGTCAGATGCCCGAAACTGGAGATTCCTGCAATGGGCAGGCACAGAAAATGATCCAGTCCTATATGTATCTAAAATGCAATCATGCAACTTCAGTGATACTGAAATAATGAAGGCGGAAGCAAAGAAAATCACAACGTATATCATCGCAATCCTGCAAGAGCAGATTCGTGGATTAAACACAGAACGTCGTCGCGTTCCGAAGAAACCCAAATTGTCATTTTAAATACACGTCTCATTGATAACACAAGAGACACGATAGCATGCGTGTAACTACTGCACAACATAACTTGCTTGCTTGATCAAAAACGAATCCTCATCATGATCATAATAATGTAATGGTTTTTCAATCAATTTATTTTTTGACAAGAAAATGGATTTTTTGATTGCACCAAAAGTCTGATGTAGTGTTACATGAAGCTATAGGACAAATAATTCAAATGGATAAGTTGTGGATAAATTTACTTTAACAATGTTTGACAAATTTTTTTAATGCTTTCAAGATGATAAATATCATAGCTTTAGAAATATTATTCACTTTTTTTTCTAGTGTTGAGTGAATTTTTTGATCTATATGATAATTTAGCTGAAGATATATTATAGATCATGTTAAAATTTATTAATAGTTATACTAACATGATTGCAAGTGATGATTATCGTTATATTCATTTGAAGAGCAAATACTATTAATTGAAGAGTAAATACTATTAATGAATTGGGAGTTTAGTAATTATTAATCAACATGAGTGAGAAAGACGATCCAATTCACGTGTTTATGGTTTCAACAATAGTGGTCAACTGACTCGGAAAACAGGAAACATGAAACCGAACACCTGAAACGTGTCTTTTAAAGATTTGCCTGTTAATCAGGATTTTTGCTTGTTTGATTTTCTTGAACTAACTATTTATTGAACCAATATAAATAGTAATATAATTTTATTATATATTTGAACACGTGAATTTTTAAAGTTTTTTAACTTTCTCTTCATTTACCAAATGTCGTACACAATATTTGATCTGTTACAGTGTAATCTTATTCTATTTGTAATAATAATTTTAAGTATGCCACGGTGTAATTATTATTATTCCTAGTTTGCTACAGTGTAGTCGCGCACAAATTCATGAACTGCGGTGTAGTAGTAGTAATAATAATAATTATTATTATTATTATTATTATCGCTGCTATATATGGGGCTTGGTGGTTGAAAAAGATGTTATTTGGCAGGCTTCCTCATTAGCATCCAGTATACCATCGCTGTTATCCCAACCAGTGATGTCATATGGACAATGTCCAATGAATAACTGGACATGGATGATGTTTGTCCAACGTCTAAATGTCCATCAGACATGTCGGGTAATATAGTTGGACATGAACAATTTTCGTCCAATGTCCAATATCCAAGTACTATGTCACCTTTTCCATTAATTTTATTATTAAAACTGATGAAAAAATCAATAAGTTCAATGTTAAGATATATTGTAAATTAGGTGAGACAGAGGAAATCAAGCACTGATTTCCCAATAAAAAAGATCAAATAATAGCACATTTTAAAAAATATGTTCAATTTGCTACAGAAACATCTAAATAACAAGATGAAATTTATAAACTTGTTAAAACTAACATTTTTTCATTACAGTTAGAAAAAAAAAAGGTAAATTACTGTAATAATTTTTTATTTTTACATTTTTTTATTAAACTATTCTTTTATAGAAATTGTTATTTTTATTAATTAAACTTTATTTACAACTTCACATTCTTTAGCTCCAAAAATTTTATTCAAAATTTCTCTTATAAACCAATAGATAACTATATAATCAGATTATTATCAGCTAAAGACAAAAAAAAATTTCACCAACTTCTTTTATAATTTATTATTTCTTTGTAAATAGACTTTGTAATAGATTGAAAAGTCTGAAGTTACTGAATTATTTGAATTTCTTAAACCTTCAAGTTAATATTTACTTGAATAAATTTTAAATAAAATAATGAAAGATTTAGAAAAGATAATATTAGTTATATTAAAAGAAGATCAAATTAGTATTATTCTTATCTTTAATAACTAGATTAATATTCAAAATGAATATTTATTAAAAATAATAATACTTATATCAGAGAGAAGATTATATGTATAAAAAGCAATAAATATAGATTCTGAATATGAAATATATATAAAAGTAATGAAAAAAATCAATATAATACTAATTAAATTAAGTATATAATTAATATAATTATTATTATTATTAATAATACAGGAGTATATGCAATTGCTAAATATATATTTATTAGCATCATTTTTAAATAAATAAAACTAAAATTATTAATTATTTTATAGATATTATTTAAAAATTACAAACTGATTAATTATATTTTTGTTATATTATATATATCAAATAAATTTGTGTATTAGAAAGATTTTTAAAGAATTAACAAATTTAAAATAATAATTGATCAAGTAATTTGTCTTGCTATATATTTCAAGAATTCAAATTATAAGTTTTTTATCTTAATATTAAATATGATAAGTATTTTATAATTAATGCATCTAGAGAAATATAATAAAATAATTTTATATTATTTGTTTAAGTTTTGTAAGATCACAAAAAGTATTATAAGTAAGTTAATAGTATTTATTCTTTATTTATTTAATAATATTATACTTACTCATATTGTTATCATTTTAAGCTTATATGTATTGTTATAATATAGATTTTTACATATATTTTATTAATATTAGTTATTTTATACTCGCATTTTTATTGGACAATTATTTAGTTATATTTTATTGGACAAT